ACGAGGAGGTAGGGGGTTGTTTTGCCGTACACATACACACCACATGCACACCACATCGCACATGACATCCACATCACACACCACATCCACACCACATCCAAATGACATCCACACATCCCACACTACATCCACATTACATCCACACCACATCCCACACGACATCCACACCACATCCACACCACATCCTACACCACATCCACATCCCACACTACATCCACACCACATCCACACCAAATCCCCCACTACATCCAACAACACATCCCACACCACATCCACACCACATCTACACCGCATCTCACACCACTCTATCGTCCCTGTGCGGCATTCTCCCAATCATTCAATCGATTTCCAGGATCAGAGGAAGTGGACCCAGAAGATGCAGCGGTGGGGACGACTGGAGGGGGCCGTGCCCCTCCCTGGTGCTATTAAGTGACGGGCGTCGGCATCCGTTCCTCGCGCACACTGGGGGTGAGAGAGCCAGAGCTATAGGTTTGTCCAGATGTAGTGGCATATTCATTCTCTCACATGAGCCTCTGTGTGAATAATCATCGCGCAAACTCTGGTCATTCTCGCAAGTAGCTTTTTGCTGGCCATCGGACAAAGATGGTCACTGCGTCGTGCGATTTCAGATGCGCTGCTGTAGCTGTCTGGAACGCTGTTCATTTCGATATTAGGAAGCTACTGGAGCTATGCACTTTCCCATCTTGATTGAAAACTAATTTCCTTAGAAATGCCTTTTTGTGTTTAGTGTAATGTCCTTCCCCCACACCTCTGATTAGCTATGTACGGTTGGCTATGTGCGGTGCAAAATAAGTTCCACAATCATACATGCAATCAGGGCCTATGTTATAAACTCGACAAGAGAATAAACACATTCATCTTCAACGGAGAAAACCCCTGGAGATTCGCATCGAATTTACAAGTGGGTTTACTCTTCCTGCCTTCTTGTCAGGAGCAGTAAATCATTCGAACAGTAGATCATGCATTAACCATAACCCTTGCCTTGACCAAAACCCTATCCATTAACAATTATCTTACCCTAACCCACGTTATAACCCAAGTCTGTAAAAAAAAGTATAATCTTCAATCAGCTCTTCGTCAATCCATTGCCAAGAAAGTATTTGTGTTAATGACACAGTGCGCCAGCCAACGTGCCACCACCCCAAACTTATCTTTAGCATGGCCATAATCCTGACCCCAGTAATAAACCCTATCGTTCTTCCGACCCCCAAGCAGGCTAAGTTTTATCCTAACCCATAAAGTGTAAATCTAACCTCATAGTAACCTTGATCGTAGTTCATCATACCATTGCACCATCCTTTACGGTCTCTGTTGACATGAATAGGCGCTCGCTAACGGTGCTTGTCGACAGTGTCTAGAAATAGGGTTGCGTGCGGGACCATGTCTCCACTTAACTGGTTTGATGTATTTTAAATTGCCTCTCTTAGCGTTACTTTTGTCTTGTTTTGTTTGAACTACTCCCGGTGGTTTTGAGTAAAAATGCCTTTTGAAAATCATATCAAAGCAAACACATCTGCACTCGTCTTTTGAGGGTTAGCACCGTGAGACCAACGTTGTGAACAGTGCCTAAATAATAAAAATCACACCCGTGTGTGGGTGATCGTGTGTGCGCACGTTTATGTGTATTCCTAGATCGACTCAGCCTAAAATGAGTACCTGGTGCAGTGTGCAAATATTGCCACTCGGGAGAAAAAGGCAGGCCAGGCATGGTGTTGGCCACCTACACCCTCGTGTGCCATGCCAGCCTTATAGGTGCTCGCCAATAGCACTTTCGTTCCATCTCCTCAGTGAATGTTTTCTAGGACTTGTGTAATGCCTTTGCTGTCACTCCAGGTACTCGGCTGGTTATAAATAAATGGTATTATTCACCGATTGAGTTAAATTTTTGTGTTGTTTATTTCTTAAAATGGACCCATTGACAGATCTGCTGTTGGGTTCAGTGCAAATAAATTAACCCGTAAAAACAAAGTTTTTCACTCTAAATCCTTTATATGCGTGGCGGCTAGAGTCCTCTCGTCCTCTGGCTTGAGATGGCTGCCACCTATTGGTCAGATGATTGTCTGCCAGCATTAAGCAATTGATAATTAAATATTTAAAATAATTTCCCTAAACAGTGTAAAATTTTGGAAAAAAATTTAACGAAAAGTAATTGTCAAGCACAACGAGTCTGTGTGGAAAATGTCAGCTCGATTGGATTACGGGAAGTGGGTTAAAAAACGACCGAAAGATTTGCACGGTCGTAAGCAAGCAAGCAAGCACGCAAGCACGCAAGCAAGCAAGCAAGCGAACTTAATATAAAGGATTTAAAAATGTAAAGCGGTGGTCTGCTCCGGGGAAGTAAGCAAGTTCTTGATTTGCGATTCCAAAAAATCGCGATTTATGTCCTGAAAGGGCCCCTACCTGGTTAATACCGGACTCAAATAGTTTTCTCCGGTGTGTCTTACAGCTTAAAAAGTTAATATAATAAATGTTTTACATTTACTACTATAACGAGCCAAGAATGTCTGTGTCCCGCATGTGACGTCACTCCACGTCGGCCAGCCCCCCTCATTAATAATCATGAACAGGTGACGTGCTCCACATGGACTCCCGCCCTTCATTAATAATAATTAGTGGGTGACGTCACTCCACATGGGGGGGGGGGGGGCAAGACGCCCCCTCCCCCCTCCTCGGCGTCAACTTACAACTCTCACTACAAAGGCAGAACCCTCACGTCACGTGATCTCCGTAACGCTATTGAGACCTAAAAGTAAAAAGGACGTCATGATGAACAAGGGATTATAACCTTTAAATGAAATAAGTCTGTGTCACTGCGGCCTTCAAATTGCACACGAATTGATGCAATGAATATCACGTTGCGGTCTGATTTTTGCTTGCAAGTTTCAGATTTGATAAAATACACTCATCATTGGACGGGCAAAAGGCTAGGTTAAAACATATTTTTACAGATAACGAATTTCAGTAATGATAATACTTCACTTTTACCCAGGAACTCCACACTAGAGTTCTAATATTCGTTTTCAGGAGGGTCCTGCATTGACGTCTGACCGTCGTGGAAGAGTATAGAGCTAGGGGTCGACAATCTGCTGTTCTGGAGTTCCTTGCGGCTCTTTAAGGACTGCTTCATGACGTTATTCACATGCATTGTGGCTCTTGAAATATTGAGGGTTTTTTTCCCAATTCGAAAATAACGGCTCTTCTTGGTAATTTGGTTGCCGACACTGCTCTAAACCCTCTTACCAGGTTCAGGATTTGAAAACGGTTGCCAGTCACTCTAGTCACCTTGGAGCTTACATTTGTAGAGAGCTTCTCTTTTCCCACCGAAATGATAAATTCCCCCAGGCGTGCATCGCGAAGTACCCTGACGTCACTACAACAGGTCTACCCATAATGCAATGCACCACTGACAACAGGTTTAATAATTTTAATACAAATGAGTTTAGTTAGCCACACTATTTTGATCATTGAAGGCTTTGTCTGTTACTCAATAGGTACATAAAACGTCACCTGTTATTTAGTCCACACACAGTGCTATCGACAAACGTGGTGTGCTTTGTTACCGATGCGCCACTACCTACGTAATGTTTACTTTTCTAAGCCATTTGGACGATGTCCTTAACCTGGGCACGTTCCCTGATCTGCGTGTTGCAACGTTAACACGTAATGTACCGTGTGCGTGCGAATGTCGGCTCAAGTGCACATTTCGACAAACTCAACCACTACTGACTCATTGGAGCTATGAAGACCGACGCATGCATCCAAATCAACAATGATGGCGACTGCGCATACATTGACGTTGATCCATTCGAATAGGTACATTCTCATGCGTTCATAAAAAATCACATTTATATTTCCATGAAATGAAAAAAACATCTACTTTTAAAATGTGTTGAGTTGAGATTTCATGTGTGTTGCTTCCTGCACATAAAGTGCCCCAAGATGCTCCGGTGCAAAAGTCCGGTCGATCAAATACAACTCGCTATTATTTTTACGACCGCTACCTACTACCGTAAGGCGGTCATGTGGATTGATGAGATATTGCGCACTGATTTACTCCAATCACCTCGCTCAGCGGCGGTCAGTCACTTATCGCTCTTTTATCGCTACGACCATGTTTATTAAATTTGACGCACTCACACAAAGCAGCATTGGTGCCGTGGAACGACTTAAAATAGTAACTTGCATGCAGCCTTTTGGCAATCCGCTGCTGGGTGAAGTCCTCGCACGACATCGGTTGTTTGACCATACTTCATGTTGACTATTGCAGGTTTGTGAAGAGGCGTCTTGATGTCCCAACAATCTGTTACCGAGTCCCAACAATCGGCTTCACTCTTTGTGCGTTGACATGCACATTTGTTCGGTGAAATCGCTTGAATTTTAAACTAATCTTACTGCCTTCCCAACCTAGATTCTTCATGTATCACAACGGCATTAGTTTGCAGACCTGGGCTGCTGGAATCACCCTCTTGCACATCGTTGCACAGTGAAACGAGGCCCTTTTAGTGGCCAAATTGGTTTTCCTGAGCAACCCTGCGCTAGAAGTTTGGTTTCCATCGCGGTAGGACCAGTGGTCTGCGTTGGTGAGGGTGGGGGCGGGCGTCCATACACACGGGTTGAACACCACAGTCCGAAAAGTGTTGGAGTTAGATTCGTTCGAGTGATAAAATGACCAAGGGCTTTTTAAATATTTGTAATTTTAATGAACTTTCAAGCCACACACAAAAACACGAGAAATAAGACCCAACAACATTAACATTATTGCATTTTCGAAAAGAACGTATTATCCCACGTACAAAGTTACTCTTGCATATTTTTTGCTTATTTGAAGTTAATTGTGTACTGCGACGCATACTTTTATTTTAAACGCACATCTCGGGTTTTAAAACGGGTTTCCCAGCGGATAAAAATTCTTAGTCGATATGAAAAATCAACATCCCCCGCCCCTCACATACCACCCTTCCCCTCCCGCCCCTCGACAATTCACGATCCTGACGAGGTTTAACTTCGCCCCCAAGGGCGACTCCAGTAAGGAGGCGGTATAGTACAACAAATAGGCTGCAGATGCGCTATCTGCGTGGTACAGTGTTCGCCTACTCTCCTCTTGCATGTGTAGATTTTCTCCGGGCATTCCGGTTTCTTCCCACGTGCAAAATAAATAGAAAATGCAAGAAATTAATAGCAATTTGTCAGACATATCCCAAATGCAGGACCCTCCTGGCAATTGATCTTGAGACTCAGGGAGGTGTTTCTGAGGAGACAAAGGAACTGGAATTACCGTATTCTCTGGATCATGTCACACTCCCCCCCTGCATATCCAAACATAATTTTGGGGTGCGTATTATGGTTCGGTAGATGTGTTCGTGCGTGGTGACCAGATTGGTCTTACTTTATTGACAGGGGACACAAGTTTGTATGTATGCTGAACTTTTTTGCACCGTACGTAGCCAACCCTGCTAATCGGAGGTGCGGGGGAAGGACAACGATACACTAAAAGCAGTTATAAAGAAATGAGTTTTCAATCTAGATTTAAACGGATACAAGTTTGGGGGGAGCATCTTCAAATCTTGAGAATACGGTAATATTGCAGTACAACTCCTCTTGTCTGCAGTGGTGTGTGGCTACACACGTGGTGTGTGCCCGGGAAACTGCAAGATATTTGGACACTGCATCAGAACTGCAGGTGGAGAGGAGGCAGGTGCCCTGCGTCACAAACTCGACGACCAGAGTTTCATTTCCGGACATGGCTAACACCAGTGGTGACACCTGGTCCGGTCCTCCAAGCTGCGGTGACTCCCACCGTCACTAACGGTGGGAGCTGTGGTGAAGTATGATCAAACTCCTGTCACCGGCAACGGCGACGGGAGGCCTTCATCCAGCAGTCGATTGACATCTGGGCCGTACGTAATTACGATCAAGACTGAGAAAAAACATTTTTTTCAATCAAAAAATTGTCTCTTGTCACTGCGCTTCCGGCTGTTTTAAGCAGTCTGGATGCAATTGTGGATGTGCCCCCCTAACTCTCAGCCATCGTGTTTGAGACGACAGCCAACAATAACGAGTTACAATTGCCACATTACCGTAAGCAGATTAACCAATGCAGTCTGTGATCAGTAATCTAAAATTATTCATTATGTTGTATGAAATCATATTACTAATCGGGTCAGGATGATCCGATGACATTTGATTCGTGAATCTGAAATGATCCATAATCATAGGCGGAGTTTGACTTCTATATTTGGGCGGGGCTTTGTTCGCTTTGTCCCTCACATTAGGAATCTCGGGTGCATATAGTGATTTTTTTTTATCATCATTGTAAACTATTGAAAATAAACGAATAAAATGTTTAGTTTGGGTGGGGCGTTGCCCCCCCCCCTCCCCGCAAACTCCGCCCATGTCCAAAATTGTATAAATTACTGTATATCGAGAAGTCAAAGGGCAGTCTCTCCCTGCTCAATGAATCGATGGGATTGGTATCACTCATCATCTGCTGCTCTGACCCAGTGTTGGATATTGCACATTCTCATGGCAAGTGCCAGTCTGTCCATAGGATGACCACTGCTGATTGACTTTCCACAAACCCTTTACGGATCATGGGTTTTATAAACCCTTTAAAGATGATGATCAACTGAGCCAACCCCTCCCCCCACCCCCGAGTGAGATTTTAACTCGTAACCTATCCGATTGAGAGTTGAGCTCTCTAACCACAGCCCTGCGCTATATTTACCACACACTAAATGTTATCCAGCACTTGTGCACTGTAAGCAGAGATTCTCTATCAAATGAAGCAGCAGTGGTGGAGGTGGCCTATTGGGGGTCTAAAGCAGAATTTATTTCTAGAGCCCCCCTTTCGGAATTATAGACTCCTGGTGAGATGACAGAAGAGCTATGGAAATGCAAGCTTTGGAATGGGAATGTAGTGAGCTAGCAGAGTGATGCAAAATAGGATAGCATTGATTTAGTGATATAATTTCCAATTATATTTTATTCTAATGGAATTGATATTTATAGAGCGCCTTCACTCAAGGCGCTTTATACAAAAACGGTGACAAAAGAGTTATTTAAATGACAGGGGCGTGCTACAAGGATTGAGCAGTGACAGCAAGGTATTTAGGGAATCACGAAAGGGGAGGGGAGGGACGGGAAGGAGTGGAGGGATGAGGGGAAGGAAGAGAATGGGCAATATAGAAGGGGTTGAGGCTTTATGTACAAGGGAAGTAGACTCCAGTGGAGAAGTACAAGGAGGGAAAATAACCGAAAATGGGACTGGGCACGGGGAGGAGGAGGAGGGACAGAGAGACAGAGAGAGAGAACATTGGGAACGAAGGGGACGAGAGGGGACATACAAGGAGATGAGAGAGGCAATACATATAAGATGGGCTAGGCCATGGAAAGATTCGCCGCGACGATACCATGATTGGAGGGCACCTTGTGCTACTTGTGACCTGAATCTTTTGCTTGGTTTGCTTGAGCCTAGCACGGCCACCGAGGAGCCACAGGCATTGATGTGATTGTGCCGTGTTGTCCTATTCACTTTACTTCACCGCGTCACATTGTCAGAGCAGTTTCACTGAGCTTGGAATCAGTCGGAGATCAAATGTTACGATGCGAGGCCTTGAACTAAAACACTGTGAGGATTTGTAAACGGCTGATATCCAAGCAGTTTTTTTCCCTTTCTATCATCGGATGTTTTGGTGTCGCAAAACAAAAACTGATTAAATTAAATAGGGAAGGATATTAATTAGCGGACTCGGGAGTCAAAAGGGGAAGTGTCCCGTGAGCTCTGGCGCGCGACGGGGCAGCGCTCATCTCTGTTGCCTAGCAACGAAGACAAATTAAAATTTGATAATTTGCATATTGCAGGGGCAAATAGCTAAAGCCTGTTGCGTGAGTGATACAGTTGAGCTAGAGTTGTTCAGTTCAAGTAAAGCCATCGATGGGTGACATTATTCAAGCCACAGACCATTAGCAAATTAATTACATTTGTATTAAATTTTGTCTTCCACCCCACCTATCGTGATTGTGCTCTCGGAGTCGTACCACGAGACGTCATTTCGAAGTCTTGCAGAGCAGGGAGAACAGTCCCCGCATGAGAGAACGGTAACGCAGGAGGGCTCGCAGAACTGCTTCCCAAATGTCTTGAAGTAACCTCGTTATTCGCAAGAGGCGGGCAGCATATTTTCGTTTGTCAGAGCTGGAATTTAGTCGAATTAAGGCCAAAACTAAATTAGTATGATTTTTTTCAGTGCAGCCATTGATGACTGGTTTGAGAACACCAACCCGCTACATGTGAGAAGCCAGCTAAATCATGGGCGACTGCAACCTGGATTCGAACCCAGGTTCTCTTCAGTGCCGGCACAGCAATCCGATCTCATAGTGACCCGGTCACCTCTCACTGCTCAAACGAACACTGTGCAGTGCTCAGAGCCAGTGGTGGAAAGCCCACGTTCCTGTGGTAGGGGCCATTCTCTCGAGGGAACCACCCTTTGAATTTTCACAAAGTGGTGCTCATTTTTATCTGTTCTGAAGGGATGGTACGCCGACAAGCTCAAAGCGCAGAGCTCCGAGGGCCATTACTGCACCAGTGAACTGCGGTAAGGTCTGACGAAATGTGAATGGTGGGGTTAGGGTGTCAGTTAAAGACAGAGTACTGGTGTCTGGTTGGCTATTTGGTTAGGGCTAGCATTTGGTTGGTCACTGGGTTAGCGTTATGGTCACTGGTAAGGCTAGTAATAATGTCAGGTTGCCTAGTTATTTATGGACAGAATAGGGGCTAGTACTTGAGACTGGTTTGCCTAGTCGGTTAGTTAGTTAGGGTTCTGACCATGGCAGTATTAGATCCGTGGCTACTTTTCATTCCCGGTGTTTACAAAGCCACCCAATAACCAGGACCACCACCACCATCATAAAAAAGTGATTAATAATAAAAAAAACGTGGCGATCATCGTCCACGCGTGCGGATAACGGGATTGCGGAGAACGAGGAGTCGAGCAGCGCCACCACAACGGCGGCGTTTGCCGCAGCTTAAAAGTGGATAGAGGCAGAGCGCAGCACGGGACCGTCACACTCACACGAGCATTCGTCACACTCGCACTCGCTCTCGTCGTCCACCTCCGTCTCGCGGGGGTCGCCCGCCGGGTCGCCGCGGTGGGGCGGGAGCGGGAGGCCGCGCTTCACCGTGAATATCCTCTTGCGGCCACGGCCCTCGGCGGGCCCGCTTGCCCCCGGCGACTGAAACGAGTGCAGCGAGTGCGCCGACAGTGCCATGTGCTGCTGCTGGTGCTGCTGCTGCTCGTGGTGGTGATGGTGGTGGTGCGGCTGATGATGATGATGCTGTTGCTGCTGGTGGTGATGTTGGTGAAGGTCTTGCTGATGCTGCTGTTGCTGGTGGTGATGATGGTGGTGCTGGTGGACGTCTTGGTGGTGAAGAAACTCCTGGCTGAGCAGGTCCTGGTGGTGGTGGTGGTGGTGGAGGTCTTGGTGGTGCAGCAGGTCTTGTTGATGGTGGTGATGGTGGTGGTGCTGTTGCATGGCGCTGCCAGGCAGCCGGTGGGCGGCGTGAACCCCAAATCCTCCACCTGTTCGGACTCCGCCTCCGCTGCTGCTGCTGCCGCTGACGCTCGCGCTGTTGCTGCCGCCTCCTCCGCCACTGCACGCCATCCGGCGGTCGACGTGACCGCAGTCAACCCCCGACGCAGTGCACATGTGCGGCGCGTCCTGGCGCAATAGCAGGTCGCGCAAGCTAAGCGTGCTGCGGGCCATGCACGCAGCGCCGCCACCACCGGCCACCGCGGTCGAGGAGGAGGAGGAGGGCAGGGTGCCCGGCCGGCCGGAGCCGCAGTGGTGCTCGTGCACGCAACGCGTGAGCGACGCGCACCGGCGAAGTTCTCTGCGCTCACACGCCGCGCCCGCATGTGCTCCGCCACCGCCAATGGTGGTGAAGGTTTCGGCGAAGGCGCCAGCGGCCGAGGAAGATGCTTGGCCATGCAGCATGGTGACGGAGTCATGCCGGCAGCCTTGGGCGGGGCGAGAGAGGGAGTTAGTCAGGACGTGCCAATAGACGAAAGATAAAGGTGCTAGAGACGCGTCACTGTTGGCACAATGGGACTCTCCACCAGAGGAGGGCTCTAAAGAGTCACTCTCTATGAGCCACGTCCTTTCTAAAAGATGTCAGCGATCGTGGCCTTCCTTTCTTTCAGCTTTACCCGTGATAATTACTCAAGAATGTTGCCAACATCCGCCAACTCTTGTGCAGTGACATCACAGCCACACGGCCGGGTTGGTGATGGTAGTAGCTATGCTGCACATGCCCTGTAGTCCAGCATTGTGGAGTCAGCAAGGGTTGGTGCATCACCGCACAAATGTTGTGCAATTACCCACACATTATAAGTTTACACTCATTGCACACAAAGTGCTTGCCACAAATGAACCACAATACCTCACTGATCTCGTCAATGAGCATAGACCACCACACAAACTTGCAGCTTTTGTATAGCGCTTCTGTGGCCGTCTGGAACACTCTTCCTTCTGATATTAGGAATCCACTTGCGCAATGTATTTCAAAACATAGATTTAAAACTAATTTCTAACTGCTTTTTGTGTTTAGTATGTTGTCCTTCCCCTGCACCTCCGATTAGAATGGTTGGCTATGTACGGTGCAAAATAAGTTCAACGTTCATACATCCCATGGGCGTCGAGGAGATGCCGTTCCCCTGGCTCGACCCAGGAGAAGGCGATACAGTAAAGTGCACACTAATATCGTCTGTCCCATCTGTATGGGATAGAGTACTGTCCCCTCGCATCCGTGGGTTTTATAAGGGTGCTCTGATTTCCTTCCACATGTATAAACACTCGTTAATTGGTCAAAACACCTTAATATAGAGGAACACAGAGCTTGGGCAATTTTGGTATTGCTGGCTCACTGCCTGGCTGATGTCCTGCAGCTCGTCTGTGGCTCCTCAGTGATGGTGAGATGTAGCTGTGCAAGAACGACGATGCTATTCATCAAACGAAACGTTCTTATTTAGTTTGCACGCAAAGCAGTCTGGGTATTTCCAAGAGGGCATGGGACAGCATGTCTTGTGCTGTGGAGCAACCGTGCTGTGTGGCAAATTTTCCAGCCGAGAAAAATGCCAGAGCAGCTTAAAAGTGATGGGAGGTTGGAAGCCGTGCGGTTTGTCATAATCATCATCATCTGGGATCCCTCGAGGTATAGTACAATGGTCCTCCGTCGACAGCGATGATGGTCAGGATTTGTGTGTGTACTCAGGTGGCTGATGAGGCCAATCCTGGAACCACATATCATGAAACAGTGGCAGCGGTGCGTCGTCTTTATTGGCAGTTTGGAAGCTTTGAAATTCATATCTGGCCTGGGTGCGTTTTATTCCTTCGTGCACGTTTCCTAACTCGTGTCTCTCACATGCAAGTGTGTATGTGTGTGTGTGGTTAGCGTGCTGCGCTACGAACCCGGTGACCCAAGTTCGATTTTCGCTCATGGACAACACCAGCGACGATTATTTGAGCCGGTCCTGGGCTTCCCCTAGGTCGACTCCGCCTTAAATTAGTTTCTGGTGTGGTGTGTAAAGATTGCCACGAGGGAGACAAAGGCAGTCGGGCGTGGTGTTGGCCACCCACTCCCTCGTGTACGATGTCGACCTTCATAGGTGATGACGATGATGATAATGATGTGAAAGCAGAGGTCATCAAATGGGTGTATACCTGTTTAAAATGATTCTGTATCTATGGCGTTAAGGCGTAGCGACATTGATGATAAAAATACGTGTATTAGGGGTATGATTTGAAAATATAGGAAAAAGTCAACATTTCTCAATAACACTTGCAGGGAAAAATCTATACGAGCGACATTTTGGGCAACAGACCTTCTCCATACATAAATAAAAAGTTACATTTATTTATACTTTAAAAAATTCTCCAACTAAAGTGCCTGTTAACCTTGAGGGAAACTGATAATTTGCATACGACAATAATCTGATAACAATACTTTCAAAGAAATGGATTATGTTACATGAAAATATAAATTGGCCCAAAATCCCCAGCAGGACATTCCTGCAGGAGAATCGTGCTTCTCCGAGGCTTTCCATGATAAATAAAGGGCACAAATTCATAACTAATTTACATTACTTCTAAAACCTCAATTAATAAGACATTCAGATACCAATTACTTTGAAAAAGTTACCCACGCAGCTCAGACTCAGGCAAAGACTGCCACAATATCTCCAACATTCTTCAACAAACACGAACAAACATAAAGCCAACCCCAGCGTGCTCATTCATCCTGCCAGGTTTGTGCTCGAGTGGCTTCTCCCTTGCCTCCTTTCATCTGCATCCATTCGTCAGCATTATTGTGCCGATCGTTTCAGAGCTACAGAGCCAAGTCTTTCTCAGCGACGAACACAAACGCTGACTTGCACGAGGTGGGGGGAGGGAGTGGGGGGAGCTTTCAGTCAATCAAACTAATGAATAGACTATCTCATGATTCCGCAAGATGCTTTGCAGGCGCTGTGTTTTTCTGCTAATTGAGTGTGGCCCCGCGCGTAATGAGTTTTTCCACCGCCGAGATCCGGGGAGAGGAAAGGGCTTTGTTGCGTCGTCGCCCATGGATGCTGGGAGTCCCTTTCCCCCTTCCCCCCTCACCTCACTCTTCTGGCAGAGCCATCAGCGGCCCGAGGAGTTCGCATCAACAGGGAGCACCATTATCGCGCTGCCGTCGAGCCTCAAAACCAGTGTCGGTGGGAAGGGTGACCAAGCCCCCCTGTTTGTTTGTTTGTTTTTTTCAAGCATCGTGCGGCGATAGACAAACTGTCTGCGGTAGTGTGGGGGGGGGGGGGTGCTAGGCAACATGCACGTGACGGGCATCACAGCCTCTCCTTACACACGCAGGGTGGGTGAGAGAGACAGGGCGAGAGCAGAATGTACGGTGGACAAAAGCACATCCTAGAGTTACTCTTTCTATTCGGCGGTTAATGTTTGTTTATAGCTTGACTAACGTTGACTGTGCTCGTGCCACCTCCTCCCCAACCCCCCAGAGTTCTTGTGTCCGTGCCCCCTCTTTTAAACAAGGTCCTGACGCAGGGCTGTTGTGAGTTATCTGTGTGGAATTTGAGTGCTTTATTTGCACATGGATCTCCATGTCCCTAGGTTTCTACTGAAATGCAAGAAATTCCCCAGAAAAGGCATCGGCGGCGGGTTGGCCAGGTGACCGGCTGGGAGGCAGGCCAGGTTCAGAGGTCAGAGAGCTGAGCCGGCACCCCTGGGAGCCTGGATTTTAATCGCCAACTGAGCTGCTGCCCACGATCACCCCGGCTTGTCCAGTGCAGAAAGGAGGATGCTGAAGTCACCACAATGGCTGTACAAAAATATAATCGTTTTCCTTGGGGGGTTAGATCGCGTAGGCATGATGCTGATATTGTTTTATATATATGTCAATCTTTTAATCATATCTAGACGATCTTTAATTATCTTTTCTTTACATGACACCTACGTGATCTAATCCGGCAGAAACTAATTATGAATGATTATATTGGTCGTGAAAGCCGACATATAAAGTAACTTTTTAGTTTTTTGTCTTTAGTTTGGTGTCCTTCCCCCGCATATCCGATTCGCACGGTTGGCTACATACCGTGCGAAATAAGTTCAACATACATACATTTTCTATTTTGCTGCATTAATCTAATTTCCAGCTCTGAGAATCAAAATATCGGTTTGGCGGCCACGTGGTGAACATGCATCCCATGGCGCTAATGGGTGTTGCGTCTCCCCACACTCGCTGGGAGAATCTCTGGCGCAACCCTTTACTGATGAAATGAAGTTGCACTGCTCTGTGAGATTTTACCAATGGAATTGTATTTGTTATTTTATTTCATAACCTAGAGAAGAGACGTAAAATTGTGAAAAAGACTGAAAAAAAATATATATATAAATGATTTGGTTAAGTATTTAAATTAGAAACTTACTTTAAAGGTTTAGAGACTATGAGACTCTACTCGGTAAAAACATAATAATTATATTATTGTAATCATTTACCTGGGAGGGCACACGTTCAAATCCTGTTCAAGGCAAATATCATAGAATTATCGTTGTCTGTCTCCTGTCAATAAAACGAGTACTGTAAAACTTTTTTGTAGGAAGCCAAGAAGCGATAACTCTTTGGATAGACTCTCACTGCCTGCCATGGGAACGTGTAATATCCACCGCTGGCATCAGGACTGCCATCCATTGGAGATGAACGCCGCCCAGCTTTTGTGTGCGTAAAGTAAACGACTTTGACGCCGACTTTGTGGATCTCGCTGTCGCTGGGTAAGGTCGCTCCAATGTTGCCTTTGCATATTGGTGTGGCCACACTTTACACTCAAAGCACGCAAGGCTCATGACGGCGTGCCCTGTAATGGACTGTGGTTGATTGCATGCTGCAGGGAGGCCTTGAGTATATACTTCCTCGCCGTGCAGAGGTGGAACAGAATACGGAATGCATTACTCTGCAGGGCAAGCAATAAACTAGCGTGAATGCATTCACACACACACACTGCTGTATCCACAAAAGACACAGACACGCAGGCAACAATCGCCTGTTTAACTTATAGAATTATAGACTGTTGGAGAAAGTTCTGTCAGGAGCAATTATGAATAAGCAAGCATCTACCATATTCTCCACATCAATACGACTCAATTATAAGCCAGTAGGTGTGAGTGTGTGTGTGAGACCAGCTTTTATTTAAATTATTGCCACCGGGTACAAGTTTGGGGTGCGTCTTACTTTCCGGAATGTCTTATAACGCAGAGAAAACGTGAATTAGGCTGCTGGAGCAAGTGCTGTGCATGAGCATCAGTGTATGAGAGAGTGGTATGGCCAGCACTACTGCTGGCCACCTTTGTCTCCCCAGCAGTGATGTTTTTACACCACATCAGGTACAAGACTGAGTCGACCTAGGGGAGACGCAGGACCCGTTCAGATAATTCCTATTGGCCGTAGCCAGTAATGTAACTCGGGCCAATGGGTTTGGCACGCAGTGGCCTAACCACTACACCACCATAGTGCCTGTGCAAGGCTCGGCGCACTCTTAGACCATGTGATGTATGGAAGACTGGCTGGCAAGAGTTCACCTCATTTCTTCAGAACTGCTTTTCGTGATTAGTTTGTTGTCCTTCCCCATACCTCTCATTAGCACGGTTGGCTATGTACGGTGCGAAATCAGTTCAACATACATACATACATACACACACTCACTGGGATGACTGGGAGATCCATTACTGCACCAATGCCACACACGTACCGGTCTACTACAGTACTCGTTATTTTACTCAAAGGTATCTTTTTGCTTGTCTGTCATTCGGTTTTTAACTGGTGAACCGAACGTTGCACAATACTGAGCGATTCAAGAACAGTACATAAAATAAAGGCATGCTTTGCGAGTTGGTTCATGGGAGGGCATGAACTGGCCTGGAGAGCTGGCACGAACGTTTCATGGAGTGATCTGTTGGTCGTGATTGGTTGGTTATTATTTCTCACTGAAGAAACCTTTTGACGGATGCCTGAATGACGGCATTTTTCAAATCCTCACACTCGGCAGAGAGTATGATGATGATTATGATTTGTCTGCATATACTGTACTTGCATCCAAAAGACAGAGATCCCCCATATAGCCTTAACAGACTGTTGGGGAAAGTGCTGTCCGCGTGCACATATTCAGGCTGGCAGGGCACACGAGCAGGTGAGTGGCCAGCATCAAGACTTTTGTCTCTGATGTTTACACACCGCACCAGGTACTCATTTTAGGTTGAGTCGACCTAGGGGAGACCCAGGACCAGTTCAGATATTCGCCACTGTTATTGGTCGTAAACTGTATTCGAACCCGGGTTGCCGGGTTTGTCGCGCAGTTGCGACAACGACTGCGCTAAAACTCCATAGACTAGGAGTCGCCCACCGTGATACCCACGGGCACACACACATGCATGCAGACACGCACGTGCACACACAGGAGCAGAGCGAGAGAACCCGCCTTCAGATTGCGATGACTGTAGCCCCTCATTAATATCCGGCGCAGCAGTGAATTATCTGCACAGATGTCAAAAAGCCCTGGGATGCAAATAAGGTCGAGTGTGGGCAGTTCACGCTGCCTTCTAGCAGCGCATGTGTGAGCCTGTGGGTGCGTTTTTTTAAAATAAACAAGCAGCCGCTGCTTTGTGCTGAAAATATTTTACAGTTGCTCACAGCCGGGCTGTGACGGCACTGGATAAATGGGTGGGTGAACGAGTACATGGGTGAACAAGTGGGTGGGTGGACGAGTGGGTGAATGGACGGGTGGGTGGGAGAACGAGTGAGTGAGTGAATGAGTGTTTTGGAGGACGAGTGGGTGGGTGAACGAGTGCGTGGGAGGATAAGTGGGTGGGTGGACAAGTGAGTGGGTGAACAAGTGGGTGGGTGAACAAATGGGTGGGTGGATAAGTGTGTGGGTGACTGAGTGGGTGGGTGAACGAGTGGGGAGGGGGGGGGGTGAACAAACAGGTGGGTGCACGAGTGGATGGGTGAACGAGTGTTTGGAGGATGAGTGAGTGGATGGGTGGGTGGGTGAGCAAGTGGGTGAACGAGTGGTTGAGAGAACGAGTGGGTGGGTGAACGAGTAGTTGGGAGAACGAGTGAGTGAATTAGTGTTTGGGAGGACGAGTGGGTGAACGAGTGGGTGGGAGGATAAGTGGGTGGGTGGACAAGTGGGTGGGTGAACGAGTGGGTGGGTGAACGAGTGGATGGGAGAACATGTGGGTGGATTGGTGGGAAGACGAATACCCCGTTGTGGGACGTCACCACTGAGATAAGGTACAGGTGAAGGGGCAGCCCTGAAAGTGCTTGCTCCCGCCACTGCTGGCAGAAGGGCGTCCGCTCAAGCGAGTTCATGAGAGCCTCTCTGGAGGGTTTTTCGGCCGAGTCTTCTGCAAGTGGCCAGACAGATGAAGTGGGTACCCACACTTCACCTCACCACACTCGACTTACAGATTGATTGCCTGTTGTGGACCCATTAATACCGCGTGGATTTAAGAAAAGTGGTAATTGTTTTAATTGTGGCGACCACTATATTTTAAGTCCAGTGCGATAACATTACACCAGGCCAGCATCCCACTGGGATAACGTGTAATTTTTTACTGCTGGTTTACTCTCTCAGCGAGGAGTGTACCACCCTGTGTCAGAGAACAGACCTGGAATATGAACTACTTCTGAAGCCACTTAAGTAGCCTCTTTAAACATGTTTAGGCACATCTTTTATATGTCCAGCAAAGAATGTTTGTCTTCTTTCAATCTGAAGACACAAACACACTTCACCCACTCATATATAGAATACAAAGATCCCCCGTACAGCCTTAATAGACTGTAATAGCAAGTGCTGTGAGCGAGCACCAATTAAGGCTGGCGCGTCACACGAGGGGGTGGGTGGCCAGCACCACCCCACTCTGCCTTTGTATCCCTCATGGAGATCTAGACATATGGCACCAGGCACTAATTTGAGGCTGAATCGACCTAAGGGAGGCCCAGGACTGGTGTTGGTCTAGAACAGGAATTGAACTCGGGTCACCGGGTTCGTAGCACAGTGCTCTAACTGCTACACTACCGCTTCCCACAACACACACCCACCCACCAACACACGTGAGCGCTACACAGACGCACCGGTCAGCGTGCCCGTGCCGTGGTTGCGTGCGCCGTCCCCTCTGCCGTCACGTGCCGGCCCCCCACTGGGCTTGGCAGTGGAGAAGAGGTCGTAGAGGGGGGGCTCCAGGACCTCCTGCAGGCAGGCGGCATCAGTGCTGCCCGAGCCGCTGGCGGCACCGCCGCAGGCCCCGGTGCTCGTCCCACGCTGCGGGAGAAGCTTCTTGCGCGGCTGCTTGAGCTGCACGTAGACGGAGATCACGATGAGCACCACCACGAGGCCCGAGCAGACGCCGATAAGCGTGCCGTTGGTGGTTGTCATCTGCTGGAAGAGGCTGCCCTTGCGCTTCTCTGCAAAGGGGAAACAAGGAGGCACGGACACGGCCGGGGTGAAGGTTATGAGGGGGCCCCAAGACTGATTGCAGGGAATGGCCCAAAGTATGTGCGCTATTACATATTGCAAAATAAATCATACAAACATTTATTCCTTTATTTATTGGTGTAAAATTTACAAATGTAAATTCCATCAAACATAAATCACTCGCTATACTCATTTTTTAAACAAAACACATTTTTGTTCCAAAGTTTAGCTGTGGAAAATTGTATGAATGATGTAATCGAAAATCCTAAAATAATTCTGATGGCTTCCATCGCTCAGCTGTTACTCCAACGTCGAACGGAGGGCATAAATTAGGGCCTAAGGCTATAGCCACCACACTGCAGGTCACGAGAGGTGGTACAAAGGTTTGCGAACTGCGCTACGAACACAAAGTTAATATCCCAGCTACGGCTAACATAGTGATGAATATCTGAACCAGTCCTGGGCCTCACCTAGGTTGACTCAGCCGTAAATTAGTACCAGGCGGAGTGTGTCAACAGACATTTTTTCTAAGGTTGCACTCATTACACACAAACTGTTTGCCACAAATGGACCACAATACCTCGCTGATCTCGTCAAGGAGCATACACCATCACGCGAACTACACTCATCCTCACAGAAGCGACTTTTGGCTAGCCATCGAACAAAGATGGTTACCTCAACATGCGCTTTCAGATGTGCTTCTACGACCATCTGGAACGATCTTCCTTCCGATATTAGGAAGCCATTGGAGCTATGCACTTTTAAATCTAGATTGAAAACTCATTTCTTTAGAATAGCTTTTTGTGTTTAGTTTGTTGTCCTTCCCCGCACCTCCGATTAGCACGGTTGGCTACGTATGGTGCGACAGAAGTTCAACATACGTACATACATCAGCACTGGGGAGACAAATGTGGCCAGGCATGATTCTGGTCACACCATTCCCACGTGCGCCATACCGGGCCTTCATAGGTGCTACTCGCTAACAGCACATGCCTCCAACAGCCTGAAAAGGCTATATGGGAGATCTTTGCTTTTGTACACGCATTTGCCAGGGTGTGTGTGCGCGTGCACGTGCCTTTGCAGTGCTTCTCGTCCCAAGGGTAGACGCAGTTCTGCACGCCGTTGCACACAAGCGAGCTGTTGATGCACATGTTGCTGTGGCAGAAGAACATGCTGCCATCGCACGGGGCTGGTAACCAGCATGGTGGGGGAGGGGGGGGTGAGGAGGACACTGAGATGAGACGAGAAAAGCAAAAGACCCAACCAACGACAGCAACCTCTTGACAAGTAATGCATTTTCGTTTCGTAGCCAATGTTACGATGACTCACAATAGATTAGTTTTTTTAGGCCACTTAGTGGTCTGGCCAAATTTGTGTCATGGCACCCTCCACTACCTGACATAGCTAAATAAATTAAATGTGTTGTGTGTACAAACATTTAACATGCCAATTCGTGTTCTAGCTCATTAATCTGTGAGTTTCAAGAACAAATCTCGCAACCAAATTTAGCTGTTGGATATAACAGTGGCGAGATGTTAACTACCTCGCCTGGTAGATAAAATGTCGTGGGTTCGGTCCCGACCCTGATGCTCGTTTATTTGGAGTTTGCAAGTTCTACCCGTGGTCGAGTGGATTTTTCTCTGGGTCCTCCGGTTTTTCCTCCACATTTAGAATCAACATGCGTTTAGAGTATTTGGATGCTAAGCCACTTCGCTGAGTTATCATTTGTGACCAGGTCGCTTCTGAAAAAGATAACGAAAAATTGTTAAATTTTTAGTTTAAAGTTTGGCTTGCAACTGTGTCTAGGCGTATTCTGGTGAGAAACCAGGAATTCATTCTGACTGCCTGGTTCTGACTTCCTCGTTTCTCAAAATGAGTTCCTGGTTTCTGGCATGAAGATGCTTTTAAGACCTTGCTCATAGCAAGTACAGTAATGTATTAGCCGTTACTTTGTTCAACTTTAATCGTGCTGTTTGTTGCTGGCCGCTTGGGCCTAGTGCACTTCGCAACCACGAGAGAAAAAAAATATTCTCAAGGGGGAGGGAAGTCGATGGGGCATTGTCGCATTCGATGTTGAGCACGTACGGTCGAGGAAGGAGGTGAAGAGCATGGAGAAGTGCGTCATGGTGCGGCTGCCCTCGTCAGCCCACATCCTCACGACGCCCAGGCCCGACTGCAGCATCACATCGCTCGCCACTGTGCTGCAGAACTTTGCCTTTAGGTTGTCGATGAGCCGCGAGCCGTCATACACGGCGATGAAGTTGCGCTTGCACTCGTTGGAGTGGTGCATCTGGTAGTCGAGGAAGCGCAGGTAGATCTGGGTAAGGTGAGTACGAGGGATGGGGGTGGGCAAGGGACGGGGGTGGGCAAGGGACGGGGGTGGGCAAAGGAAAATCGTAACTCAGCTTGTAACCATTTACCCACCCAGCTTGACTGCACCAACTGTCACGATTGGGTGGTCACAATTCAATCCAGGAATGCTTTTTTTGTGGAGTGTGTACTTTATATACTGTCTGGGTTATCCGTACTGCCTCTCTTGTCTGTACTGTCTTGTCATCTGTATTGTGTCCGTCTTGTTTTGCCATTGGTGAAACACGTTTATGGCAAGGGAGACACATGCAAACAAAGTACGGCACTAAATATCTTCACGAAGAAAAATAAAATAACTGAAAAACATCAACGAATCTGACACAAATACAAAGTTTCACAGCAAAAAATATAAATAAACAGTATAAATACGACGCGTAAGGGACAATCACAGAAACCCCTGTTGCTCTCGCCTTCACGCAAATAAATACATTCCCAATTTCAGGGACTTTATTAATGATGATACCACTGACCCAATACTCTAGAGCATGGGTGGGCAACCGTTTTTCTGCCAAGGGCCATTTGGATATTTATAACATCATTTGCGGGCCATACAAAATTATCAAGTAAAAAAGTTAGCCTGTAATATTTGGTCAAACATTTAATTAACTCATCTCTAATGTGATGGCTGGAACTGCTTATCTTTGGTGAGGCGTGTGATGTTAGCTGGTATTGATGATGTTTCTACTCGCAACTGCTTTTCCAGGTTTGCTCCTAGATTTATTGATTTCGAGTCCCGCCTGCGGTTGCCTTGGCAGGGCCACACCAAATGATTTTGGGGGCCTTACACGGCCCGCGGTGCCGGACGTTCCCCACTCCTGCTCTAGAGCCATCCAATCACCTACAACATTGCACAGTCATAAATAATGTCAGCTTGTAACGCGTCGCCGAGCGAGGAGGAACCACAGATAAGCAGGAAGGCAACCACGCAATGAGCCAGGACCAACAATTGCCCAAGCTCTGCGGCCCTCTGTCTGTTAAGGTGTTGTCAACCAATTCATGAGTGTTCATGTGTGGGAGGAAACATGAGCATCCATAAAAACCCCACATATGAGGAGGAAACGCTCTATCCCATACAGATGAAACAGGTGGAGTCCACATTTCTGCTGTATCGCCTTCTCCTGGTGAACCGGGGTATGGCACATCCTCTACGCACACAGGGAGGGAGTTTCGCAACACTCATGTGATCCACCTACCCTCGCTGCTTCCACAGCGCTGGATTACAGGCCAAATGCAAAACCACCACCACTGCCTGGCATGTACAGCACTTGTCCATCAGCTGCTAGATGTACATGATCTAGAATCGAATTGTGAACCAGAATCAACAGTGCTTACTCAACAATGGATGGGCGCTCTATCATACTCTACTTTGATCAAGCGTGAGTCAACCGTGTGTCAACCTCCATATATATTTACAAAATCTAGCTCTCACATAGGGTAATATGAAGTGAAAAGCTAGATTAATGAAAATATTGAGGGATGTTGTATTGCGATTTTATATTTAAAAACATGTTTTTACACCTTTCTCTCGATATTGGCATCGCAACGCAAGAATTTGGAATCCATTGGGAGCTCTCGTAGGGTACGGTCCACAGAAGACGCGCTGAACCGTTTCCGACATCCTTCCAAGCGCCCTCTTATTTACATGCTAGGGGGAAGCACCTTCCCGCCCACACGACTACACAAACTTAATGTTCATCACATGATGGTCAAAGCGATTTTTTTTCTAATTCGCAGAGCTGGAATGAATCCAAATTAAGTGTAAAACCAATTTATTGTTTTATTGTACAGCCATTGGTGACCAGGCTGTGATAATCAAAGTGACTACGCCTGAGCAACTGGTTTAATCACTGGCGGCTAGCATGGATTAAACACAGCATCTAAATGATGCTGGCTCTGCTCTGAAACACCCATTACCCCAGCCACCTCTGCCGACATCCCACTCCTTAATTCACTGCTCCAGCCTGATGCATCCACTCACTATTAACGAGACCCCCGTATTAACGAATTGATTGAATTATCCTTCAGATCCATACAGCACTGTCGATTGCTTCAATTTACGTAGAAGCAAAATGGGACATCCAAGCACGACACTGGCACGCGCTTATACAAACATACACACGAGACAATGATCCCCCATGTAGTTTTTAACAGACCGTTAGGGCAAGTGCTTTTTGCGAGCACCTATGAAGGCCGGCACGGTAGCACGAGGTGGTCGGTGGCCAGCACCACACTCGACACACAGCCACATATACACACATGCTCTAACACATTAAAAATGTATTCACACAATAGTACACGCGAACATACACTCACTGCTACACACATATAATCACACTATGACAAAGATAGCAATCCCCCATATAGCCTTTCACGGAAGTTGGGGCAGAGGTACTGTTTGCAATCACCTATGAGCACAGTGCCCAGCCACTTTTGTATCCCAAGTGACAATATTTATGCACTGCACCAGGAACTCATTTGAGGCTGAGTCGACCTCGGGGGAGGCCCGGGACCAGTTGGGATAATCACCACTGTTGTTGACCGTGAGAGGGAATCGAACTCGGTCGCCGGATTCATAGCACAGCGCGCTAACCGTTATACAATCGCTCCCCTATAACACGCGTACAAAGATCCTCCCAGCGGTGCCATACAACGGTCTGTACACAGACATGTACACAGACATTTACACAGACATGCACACACGCTCACGTCTGCAGACACCGAGCCGATATTCCGGGTCAAACGCAGTAATTTTAATAATACGCGCGCTCTTGGCTCTTTGCGATGAAACATCGCAAAATCAATGTCCTAATGTAATGGAATGATCTAAAACGGGCCCAGCTTTAGCGGGGCGACGTCGGTACCAGCGTGTTCGGCCCAGATTGATGGTTTTAAATGCAGGACTCGTTAAGGATATTGGCCGTGGAGAGACGTGACGTCAGCGGCTGTGGAATAAAATGAGTGGTGATTTTTTTTTTACTACTCCGCTTAAATTCCGAATCAATCTTGGCCCGGAAGAGTGTTGACTCGGCACCAGCTAATCACACAATTACTCCACCGATAACCCCGGTAATAGAAGTGGTGGTACGGAATTCTGATAAGATGGCCGTTGAGTGTAGAGCAGAGGGACGATGCTGCCTAATGAGATGATCGGGATGTGACGCTCACTAGTGGCAGTTGTGATTATAATTGTTGATGCTGTGACACTGAAGATGACGGTGAAATTGAATATGGTGGAAATATTTTGATGTTGGCATGCGTTGATTTTCTCTGGGTATAGTACTCCTCTTTCCTCTAACATGCAAACAATTGTTAACGTGGAAATAGACAAACAATGCCAATCAGGACCCTCCTGAAAAAAAGGCTCTTTGGACTCAGTTGATGACAAAACATGAAAGTGTCTGGCTGCTTAAACGACTCGAAACAAGTGGTGGAAATTCCACATTCCAATGACAGGCATCAGTTAGCCACTCCATAGGACACTCACTGGGGTTCTGTATTAATACTGTTAGAGGGATGCTGCCACAGCGTAGAGGTGAGCACACTGCACTTGCAATCCAGAAGTTGCCAGTTTGATTGGATCTCCCGGCGCGGCAGTTGAAACAATAGTGCGAGCTTCTTAAATCCCCCACCCTCTCCACCCCCCACCACCTCTGTTCATGCAGTAGTGTAAATGGATAGAACCAGAGTTAGTTGATCAGTAGGTGATGTGTGGTGGGGGAAAGTGTGAGTACTCCAGCCTCTCCCACGATGTCTTGCAGTTGTGGAAGATCAGGCAAAAATACCCTCCACAAAAGCCCCCTCGAGTGGTGGCCCTTCTGCCAGCAGTAGCATGAGCAAGCATTTGCAGGGCTGCACTTTTACCAAGTACCGTCAGATGACGACAACGATGCAACGGTGACAATGATGAGGACGGCGATTGTGATCACGATGACAGTGATGGTGAAGTTGACGATGATGACGACGATGGCGATGATTCGTCGAGGCGGACTCTTGTGGCTGTGGATGGGAGGGTACCCGTGAATTGGGGGTGGCCCGGATAGTCCAAAAGCAGTCGATGGCTTCGTTGGCCGTTGCCTTGCTCTCGGTTTCGAGCTGTGCTGACTTGAGGATTCCCTCCGCGCCGCTGACTTCAAACTCACACGCTGCACACCGCACAGACATCAGCTACGCTCGTAAATTTAAAATAATTATATAGTTGAGACATTTGGTATTCACGCCACTCTTACAGTGCGAGGCTTTCGTGAACGTCCTATCTTTCATCAACACAGCAGTATATTCGCAGCCCAGGGGTGCTGTTGTTTGCTGTGTGTAATTCCTACCGAGTAATTTGCATGGAATTTTCTTCAAATTTGGCAAAGGTGGATCACGACGCCGGCACATAATGGCCTACCTCTTTTCGAGTGGTGCCACAGGAAATCGTTAAATGTCCACTGTGAAGCAGACGACACGTAGTAATTTTACAGTTAATACGCCCACAGTGGTAACCATGGGCGACCTTTCCGGATTTGAACCACGAACGTGCTCCCACTGCCATTTTCTGTGGGGTGTGCAATACATCGCCCGTATGCATCGCCTCAATTGGATGGTCACGTGACCAGGTATGTCACAGTGGCAAGATGTTAACTACGTTGCCTGGTATACAGGAGGCTGTAGGTTCGATCCACCCTGACACCTGCTGTGTATTTGGAGTTTGCATGCTCTCCCCGTGGTCACAGGGATTTTTCTCCGGGTCCTCCGGTTTTTCCCTCCTCATTTAGAAACATGCTTCTGAAAAAAGAGCTATATAGCTCGATAGACCTTACCTGGTAAAATAGAAATAGTAGTAAGTAGTTAGCATAATCTATATTGGGGCTCTTGCTGGAGTAGGATACCCATATAATGCCTACCTAATAGACATTCTGTGTGCTGTACCAGTCTGTGGGCCTCATCACGATGATGATTATACAAAAGCCATGTCAGTCCTTACACTCGTTAATGGATGCATCTGTGTCTCTGGTGAAATACAAATAGTTGAGTTTAGTTTTAACTCTTAACTTGGGAGATGAGGTTTTTTGGCAGCAAGGATGGGATGTAGCCATGAGGTGCAGTTTATCTGGCTATAGATGTATATGGAATATTAGTTTGTTTGTATGTGGAAAAAGCTGCTGCTGCTGCTTTTGGGATGCAGAGGCCTGCATCAGCCAAGAAGCAGCAGAAGCCTGGTGATTTTCAAGCAAGTGAGAACAGCAACAGCAGCATCAGCCAAGTCATGGGCAGAAGAAGCAGATTAAATCAGGAAGAGAACAACTGAAGGTTGTGCAAGACCCCATTGGATCTCAGTTGCAGATACGTGGAGAAAGGCATGGCCACAGCAGCACAAAGGGTGCGCAAGATGCCTCTGGATCTCGGCTGCACGGTGCTCTTGCAAACTAAGCTGCTGCACTTATATGCGTAAATGTTTTAATATATACAGTTTAACCATCACCCCCTTACAGGTCTTTGTTGTGCAATATTGGAAATTGATATTTTGCTATGTTTTTTATATTAACAGGTAAAGCCCACTGAACTATTCGTTCTTTTTCAGAGGAGACCTGGCCACAAGTTATAGATCATCAAAGTTCTTTATCACCATATATGGGAATTTATAGTTTCAGCCAAATAATAGAAACGCATGTTGTTTACATATGTGGATTGGGGCAAAACCGGAGAGACCTGGAGAAAAATTCCACGTGACCACCATGGGGAGACAGAAAACGCGGACTCCAAATGTACATCCATAATATAGTTTTTTGGGTTAGATCCTGTAAATATCTTATCGCATAAATGGCTTATCACGTGGACATTTATAGCGGCCAAAATACTCTCAATGCATGCTGATTCTAAATGTGGAGGAAAAATCCGGAGGATCCATAGAAAAATCCATGCAACTACGGGGAGAACATGCAAACTCCAAATATATAAGCGTCAGAGTTGGGATCGAACCCACAACCTCCTGCGTACCAGGTGAGGGAGATAATATATCCTCGCCACTGGGGTTGCCGTGATATCGTTTGTCACCTGGCTTTATGGTTGTCACCTTTGAGGTACAAAAAAACCAGAATAAATCATGGGAGAAGTGGAACATCTCACAATACCAGAAGACGGGAGAACTACACGTGTGCATGCATCGTCTTTAGTGGTGTAATATTATTGTTATTCATCAGCAGACATAAAAACATGGGAATGAGAATGTCTTGGGAAGATGTTCCAGGATGACAGCAGCTACCTCAAAAAGGATGATTCTGGGAAAACCAGGTCAAGTATCAACCGTACTTGGCTCAGGAGAGACAAATTGGTTACAGAATTCTGGGTTTTTTAAATAGCAACCTCGACTATCAGTCTAAGCGGCTGCGTTCTGAACTCTGGCCGTGCTGATAATGAGGAATGGCTGCTTTATAAATGGGCGTGCTCCTGCAAAGCTGCTGACCTCAGAGGTCAGGTCCTCTTAACCAATGCTATGGGACAGACGGCCACCGTGCAAAAACCATCAAATAGACTAGGTAGAGCACACAGCATTGGCAGGTACAGGCAGCCTGCTTGTCTAAGAGGTATGCATTATCTAGGTGTCCACTCCAGAAAGAGCCCCAATATAGATTATACTATTTTTTACTGTTTTCATTTCACCAGGTAAGGTCCACTGAGCTATACAGCTCTTTTTCAGAAGCAACCTGGCCTCAAATGATAGCTCAACGAAGTGGCTTATCACGTGGAGATTTATGGCAGCCAAATACTCTAAATGCACGTTGCTAAATGTGGAGAGAAAAACTGGACGACTTGGAGAAAAAGATACACAACCACGGGAAGAACATGCAAAATCCAAATATACAAGCGTAAGGGTCGGCATCAAACCTACGACATCCTGTATACCAGGCAAGGGAGTTAACATCTCGCCACCGCGCCGCCCCTAAACACAATGGTTCGACTGGACAGCCACGGCTCGACTGGACAGCCACGGCAGTGATGCATCTTAGGGGAGGGGGGTACGAGGCGCGGGAAGAGATTGCAGTGGAGGCACCCGCTGCCCCACCCACATTGAGACTCTGCGAAAAATGGTATTTTATTTATATTTACCATAGGAAATACATGGGATCTTTTTGCATGATTATCGGGCTTTATGTATTTTTTTAAACACTTGGAATTTTGGGACCACCCTGGCCTCCACCCACCCCACCTCCTTTGAGAAGATTCAAATCTGCCTCTGATTCCTGGTCTCGAGAAATCTGTATCATTGTCCTGGACCATTTGCGTAAATCATGATTGTCTCCCAGTTGAACATTTTCTGGCCGTGTCGTGGATGGGACCGGAGCAGAAGAACATAGAAAAGCAGACAACTCGCCTCCTTCCCACATTCGTCCCTCCACGTAAAAAAAAAACCCAAAGTATTCTTTACACATCCCCAAATCGCATTACTGATTAGCACGGTTGGCAAGAAGTTCAACATCCATACATACATACGAGCCACACCGTCTTCTGGAAGTGCATAATTTTAGCAGAATTATTTTGACACGAGCAAAATTTGGACCGGGTTCGCCATTCAGCATCTCATCGGTAGAGTCAGGCTTTGCTTGAACCAGTGCTGATGAACCGCCCCAGATGTTAATAGGCAAGGGCCTTCTGTGTTAGATGTGAACTGAGCACTCACCTGGGAGCGGGTGGATGATGCTGCCCATGTGGCTGAAATCTGGGTCTGCAAGAGGAGAGTGCAAATCGTTGTTGCTTTATCATCATTCATATAGGAACACAGCCATAAGCCAGACACCGTTAAAATCGGAATGGCTAAATATCAAAATAAAAAAAAAAGGCAGGGGTTGGTCCAGTGGAAACAGTTGTGCCTCACAGCAAGATGAGTTAGTAACATTGCATGATTTTTCTTCAGCTATGGGGGAAAAACCCCGGAGAACCCAGATGAAACCCATGCAGAACAAGGGAAGAACATACAAACTCCACACACAATCACAATCACTCTCACATTTGGGAGAACATACAAACTCCACACACTCGCAATCACTCTCACATTTGGGAGAACATACAAACTCCACACACTCGCAATCACTCTCACACTCCGGAGAAAATACAAACTCCACACACTCGCAATCACTATCACACTCCGGAGAACATACAAACTCCACACTAAAGAGGCAGCCAACCCAAGCCCTTCTTGCTGTGAGGCTATAAAAACTTCACTACTGCGCCACCCTGCCGCCCACTAACCGCCACTCCCGCCGGCAGCGCTGCTCCCCAGGGCGGTCGCGGCGCCTCACCGGGCAGGAAGATGTAGTAAGCGCGGAAGCCCATGGACTCGAGTTCGCCGTCGGAGTAGAACTTGATCCACATGAAGCGGCCATTGGAAGTGATGGGCGGGGGTCGCTCGGTACCGCAAAAGCGGCCGATGAGCGGTGAGAAGCTGAAGGGGCCGTCGCGCACCTCCAGGTGGTCGAATTTGCACTCCCACGACGGCTCCACCGAGTACGGCTCGTCGAAGTGCAGCTCCGTGCGCTGCCGCGGCGGGGCTTAGGGGTGCGGCAGGGAGAGGGGTCGGGGTTAGGGTCCGATTCAGGTCAGGGACAAATTAAGGGAGGACACGGCTGGGTGGGTTGTTTGGAGAAGACCGTTGGTAGGCATCTCAAGCACGGCAATGAGCCGCGAGTCAAATGCCACGTTCTTACAATTGCTGGAAACTTGCTGGAAACTTGCCGGAAACAAGCCGGTCCATATTACAAATCCTCTGTATATCTCCATATATATAAAAGGCAAAGTTGTGATTACTGTGTGTCTGTTCAAAATGTTTAGCGTACTTCCCGACATGCAACAAACTTGAAATTTTCCATGTGGGTACTTTCCAGACTGTACAACATGCAAAAATTATAAAAATAGACTTTTGATTTTTTTGGGGGGGGGGCTCAATAATGCAACAAAATTTTTGCACAGCAAGTGAGCTGTGACGTCAAATCTGTCACGTGACCCGCGCATGTGGAAGTGTAACGCATTGTAGTGTAGTGGTTAGCGCGCTGCGCTACGAACCCGGCGACCCGAGTTCGATTCCCGCTCACGGCCACCGCCGGTGACGATTATTTGAACTGGTCCTGAGCCTCCCCTAGGTCGACTCAGCCTCAAACGAGGAACTGGTGTGGTGTGTGAACATCGCCACTGGGGAGACAAAGGCGGCCGGGCGTGGTGAATCCAAGTCCTGGGCGAAGCCGGGTAGTAAAGCTAGTATAGATATATACCCCTTTTCCACTGGCACATCTGAGCCGAGCCAGCACGGGCCCTCATAGTATGAGTATTACATTTTTTCCACTGACTATTTGCAGTGCCAAGCAGGAACCAGACCGTAGTGCGCTGGCCTTGGCATGGCTCTAATTGTACAATGGAAGACGGGGGATGAGTGAAGCGAGTACAGTAATTCGACAATCGCACTCGGCCCATGGAGCTACCCTCAGTGCTTGAAGCAATGGGCAAAGTAAGTGAGACATACAGGACCAATCAAAACACAGATCAATTGGTGTTACAGATCCAATAACTCAAGGGATAATCGGGCTGTGGAGAAGGGTACGTTCACTCTATAAGATTCAGAAAGTTCACATACCTTTGTTATTTTCAATGCCTCTCTCATATTTGCATCCTGTTCAGTCACTCTGATCGCCCACCCCTAAAGCTAGGCGTGCAAATTGATCACGTGGGCAGCGATGCGAGCGAGCGTGGTGCTGTCCACCTATCCGCTCGTGTGCCGTGCCGGCCTTCATAGGTGCTCGCTAACAGCACTTGCTCCAACAGTCTGTTAAGGCTATACGGGGATCTTTGTCTTTGCTGTGTGTGTAGAGAGTGGTGACAGCGGTTCGCGCACACTGCAATACAAACACTGGCGACCCAAGTCAGTGGAGAGTGATTAACTGAGCCAGTCCTCGAGTTGACTCCTGCCTTAAACTGATACCTGACGCGATGTGCAATCATCAGCACTGGAGAGATAAAGATGGCTGGGCTCGGGTATCGGCCATACCACTCGAGCATGCACCTTTCCGACTTTAATCGGCGCTCGCTAACAGCACTTGCCCTAACTGTCCTGTTGAAGGCTAGCCAAGGGGTCTTTGGCTCGGTGTGTGTTCGCTTGTCTGCCGAACGGGGGAGGGCCCCCTCACCCTCCAGGATGTAGATGCACTCCTTGTCGGGGGGGTAGTTTCCAGGGTAGTTGGAGGAGGAGAAGGACCCCCCATTGGGGTTGCGGAGCCACGTGCCGCACTGTGCCGCGCGGAGCCTCTCTGCCGCCGACTGCGCATCTGTGGGGCCCGGCACACAGACAAAAAGGCAAAGGTCCCCCCCCTATATTACCCTTCATGGACTGTTGGGGCAGTACTTTTAGGGAGCACTTCATGAAGCTTGGAAAGGCACACGAGGGGGGTAGATGGACAGTACCAATGCCAAGACCCATCATTCCCACTAAGTGATGTCGACGTCACCACGGCGCCTGTGCCAGACCAGGTGCACGCATACACAGATGCCCCCGTGAAGCATGCACGTGTAATGACAATAGAGCCTGCATGCGGTGTGAGTGGACTAGTGGCCACGGGAAGTAATGATAGGGAAGCCAGCCTAGAGTACGAATGCACCTAGTGGCCACGGGAGGTAATGACAGGGATATCAGTCATGAGTGCGAAGCGACTGGTGGCTACGGGAATGTTGGAGAAGGGAGCGTGATCAGGAGACGGAAGAGGATGGTAGAGCGAGCGTCCAGAGTCAGCGAGAGTGATCGAGAAGGGGGGCGTGGCCTCGGTTGGTATATAAGGGAGATGTGCGGGAGACTCGGGACTGTTGCGGTGGGATCTCCGCCTGGCGTCAAGTGAACGTGTCTTCAATAAAGTGCCATCTCAAGAGAAGTGTGTCAAGTCGTCATTACACACGTACACACAGATCCCTCGTGTAGCCTACAGAGGCTGTTGGGGCAAGTGCTGTTAGCGAGCACCTATGAAGGTCAGCACAGCGCACGATGGAGTGATGTGGCCAGTACCGCACACGGGGACACTTGTGACTAAACTTACACGTAGTGCCAGGTACTCATTAAGCCTGAGTAGACCTAGGGGAGGCCCATGTACTGTTTCAGATATTCATCACTGATGTTGGCTGTGAGCGGGAATCGAATTGGGGTCTGCTGGGTTCATAGCGCAGTGTGACATATATATATATACAGATATAACCATGAGAGATGTCAGCTTGGGAAAAGACTTCATCTAGCAATTTATTGATCATAGATGATGAATTGTGCGGTATTATCCCTGTGGTCACTCGCTTTGTGCAGCAGCAGCAGCGCTTATCATAGCAGTGGAATAAAATTCTCAACCTGAGGAAATATATAAGCAACCTTTATCAGTAACCCTTAGGTTATTGTCAAAAGAGCCTTTAAAAACTTATTTTAAAAAATCTCACTTTTCTGAACAAAAATCCTCGAATCAGGGATACAACTTTTCTTTTTAAATGCGACGGAGATAAAATATCAGTTGTATAAAACAACTCGGCTGTGACTGTACCCCCTTGCACTGCTGTCGCTGACAGATGGAGCAAAGATTCTACTTTAGCTATTGTTGTATGCCAGCCAGCTGATCTGGCAACACCGGTGGGTAGTGGCATGCATGACTTGTCTGGGTGTGCGCTGTAGCAGGATACGATGAATTTGCGACAGAATGAATGATACATTGTTAATCAGGGAAGCTAATTAGCGTGGGCAAAACCACGCCCAAATATTATATATATGGGTCTGAAAAAAACTCCCATAATTTATCATTAATTCTGTCGCGGATTTATTATATCCTGTTACACGTCCGCCTCTAAATCGGGGTCGGTGGCCACTGGTCGTTATTGAACTGAGGCCCTCCAGTGCGGCGAGCTGATTGTCTGAGCCTGGCACCAAACGCCGCAGACACACAGCCGGAATTCTTGCTTCGCAACCAATCTATAATCTTAATCTTCCGTGATTCGTAAATCCTCGTGTAAATCGGTGCTTTACACAAACATGCATTGTTTACAAGACTGTATTGCATTATTTTATGGGTGCGTCCTTGGTGGACTTTTAGCTGCATTAGGCTACGGCCTAGTCACTCATGACTACACACACAATAAACTCAAACACGTTATTTTCTTACTTAATTCAGCTTATTCCAGCTCTGAAAATTCTAAATCCTTCTTGTATTGATATGTGATAAAAAGGGCATATGGCTGCAGAGGCCTGAATGCAGAGTAACCTTAGAACTAGATCTACAACAACATCCCCAGGGAGAGTTAAGAATGAAAGATTGTTTATTATATTCTCATGAGTCATGACATAGCACCGATAGCACGAACTCAATACATGTACGTTGTAACAGTATAGACATGCACTGTCGCCCCGCAGTGATGTGCTGTGGCCGAGGTTAAATGAGGTAAGGGGCCGTCCATAAATGACGTCACGCACCTAGAGGGAGGGGGGGGGTCAGACATTTGTGACGATGTGTGACAAGGGGGGGGGGGGGTTGAGAAATGTGACGTCACATCCAAATGCGCAACTTTAAATAAATATAGACAACATGCTCTACTTAATTAAATATACTTCTTAAGAAATGTTTTCTCCTACAACACCAGAGTGCAGCGTCATATTAAATACGCACTACAATGACAAAGCGATTTGAAGCATGGTTTAATTTTTTTTTGGGGGGGCAGAGCTATGTGACGTCATATTTGAGGGGGGGGGGGTCTGACTTTTTGTGACGCTGTGTGACGAGGGGGAGGGTAAAAAATCGTCCAAAATCGCGTGACGTCATTTATGGACAGCCCCTAAGGGGGGTTGAGAGGTTATGGGAGGAAAACGACCCATCTAAGGAAGCCAAGGCACCACGGAGGCCTTGACCGGGGGAAGGCGACGAGTTGGCCATTCAGGGCAGGCCGGTTGGCGTGGGGTGAGGTGTGAATCGACGGGGCTGTGAGTGGTGGAAAGTGAGGTGAACAAAAAGCCAGGGCTAATGTAACGATTTTCTGGGGTTACATTTGAGGGGTGCTGCACAAGCCAAGTTGATTGACAGAGGCTGTGAGGGCGGGACCAAATGTGTATGGAAGTGAGCGCGACCCGTGCACGGAGGGGGGCTGGGATGGTCGGCGTTCGCCGGGGCCGGGGGGCTCCCACGGGGGGCCCGCTGCTGCGGGGGGGGGGGGGGCTGTTGTGCGGGCGGGCCGGTGCCTGGGGCTGCTGGTGCATGGCGTGGCTGTGTGCGGTGCTGCCGTGCAGGTGGGTCGGTGGCCGAGACCGCGGCTGCGTTGAGTAGCTCAGAGCGCTGTGTCGTGAGCGCAAACCAAGTCCCTGAGACTGCCGTTACGGAGCCTTGGTTTCTGGATAGTGCATAAGAGTTGGTGCGAATGGTTCGGCGCAGTGTTCTGTAATTGTCTATTCCGTGCTGTGTTCTGTAATCGCATTACCGTCGCGGTGTTCTGTACCTGTTTTGTCGTCAACGGTATTCTGTGATTATTGACACGCGGGTCGCTTTGTTGAGCAGGTTAACTACGGAGTTATGTAAATGTTATGGAAATGTGTTGTCAATTAAGTATTATCTACCACAGTTGGTTCGCGTCATTGTGCATAGTGTGTCAATAGTGCATAAATCAAGACATAGTTAATACATTCCAAATCTTGTTAAGATTCATTGTATTCTGGATCGAGTTATTTTCCTCCTTTCAGTCGCCATTAAAGCACGTTTAAAAAAATCCGCATTGGTATCCTCATAAAATTATAGAAGGCATTGCATGGGAGAGAAAATGAATCCGAACTCCCCTCTCTCCCATATTTAAAGTGAGCAACCCTCACATAAGTAAATGATAATAAAAAGATTGCTGGAAACACTGTCTCCTTTGGGTTGAGTCATACCATTCTTTCCCAACCTTTAGGGTCAGATATTGCCCTTCGTCAGTGGGCAAGGGCCCTGTGCTGTAATGAAATGAGGCCACCCCCCCCCCCCCCCTCTTCGTAGCCCAGGGCATTGATTGAGCCCCTGTGCCTTGGTGCAGCTGCACCGCCAGGGTAATACTACTCGATAGCCACAGCATTGACAAAAGAGAACTTGAGAAACATTCGATCTCTCTGGATATTGAAGGCCCGCCTGTCTCCTGCCTTGGATATGAGCAGTTGGAATTAACCCGGTGCTCCTTGTGTAGCATCACTAACGTCTCTACAAGGACATCGTGGCTTTACCACAAACGCTCTTCCGCATGAATAATTCCAGTATAAATGATGGCTTAATGCTGCCGGACTGATCCTTCTAACACATTGCGTGTACCGACTACGATGGAATTGAATTTAAATGAGTGTGCATAGGGACACACTTTCAAGCGAAAAGGCGCAACGAAAATGTAATTTCTCCTCTCCCTGTGAATCTCCATGAAGCGTTTTAAATCCCTCCTTACGAAAGAAAAAATAAATTCCTTCCTTTCATCCCGTGATCTGCAAATGCCACCTATTATCCTGGGTCTTTGAGCTGCAATCACATTTGGCTGCTTTGTCAATCCAGTGTGTTGATTTAAACTGTAAAGGTCAAAGTGCAGTCCTGAAATCTCATGTGGAAGGGCCTCCACTAGAGAGAGCCCTAGAGGGCTCCTCCCTTAGGTATTTTTGGCTTCCTCTTCCATGCTGGCCAGGCATCTCAGAAGTTGTGGGAGCAACCGCACTTGACTCCACGACACCTGATCATTTAAACGGCTGCTGGACAAAGGAGGTTAGCACCGCTTGTTTCAACTGCCGTGCCAGGAAATCAAAACGGAAACATCTGAATTCACATCCAGTGTGATAAAAATGGTTATAACCATTAGCTGCATGGCAGTATCCTAATTAGAGTGCACTTTTAAATGGGATGAGTGTGCTTTGAGCTGCGTTCCATGTCGCAGGTGCAATCGCAATGAGGATTGGAGGTGGCCAAGTGGGTCAGAGGTCAGAGGATTGAGCCAGCACCACTGAGATCCTGCAATACAGAATCGGAATCTTTATTTAAACTGGAGAAATCCGATGAGCTTTGAAGCTTGTTTTCACAGATGTCCAGTATAGGCGGATCAGCAGGCATCCCCTTGTGATATAAACTGGGTCCGCAGGTGTAACGAGCTGATGGTCTCAGCCTGGTCATCAATGATTAACATAAACATAGACGTACATATAGACCCATAGACTCGCACATAGACCCATAGACTCACATATGCTGAGTTTGGATTTAAACTGGGTTCACAAGCGTAATGACTGGATGGTCTCAGCCTGGTCATACAATGATGCACACAA